TCCTACCCCCATGTGGATGTTGGTTCCCAGTGGCCGAGGTTGAAGTTAGACTAGAATCAATCAATGTAGGTCCTCACACATATTACAGATGTCTATATTCCTCCTTCATTTATACTCCCTCACTGTTGTGGGTTACGGTGGAGGTAACTGCGGATTGTTATGGTTCTTTCCCTTCTGCTATCCCTCGATGTTTCTTATTCCAAGGATATTAATGTGCTTGGAATAGTTCTGGTCAATTTCACTTTTGAGGGAGATGGTTTACTTTATGTAGACATCTTTTTGATACTGGATGTCGGGTTTCTGGATCATTCTATCAATTTATCATATTCACATGTGCCCCGTTCATGAGTTGGAGGGTACTAGATTTCCTCCGGTTTAGTGAACTTGAGGTGAAGACGATATAATCCTCTTTCCTACCCCTGCCAGATGGCTGGGTTTTGGATTGTAGTCAACTTGCCACCAGTATGATCCTCTTTCCTACCCCCACTAAAAAATTTACCTACCACTAACAACAGCACATTGCTTGGATGGCTTAAGAGACTGATAAATCAGAACACCAAAATTTTTCTCTTCCATAACACTGTTAAGGTTATTCCCATCAAACCTATACATATAATTCAAATTATGATAACCCTCATGCATTACATTCAAAACCATCTGTGATTTATTCACCCAACTCAACAAATGGTCTAAACCTTTTGTGAAACAGCAGCATCTTCCTCACAGCCAGCAACATCCAAGACCTTAATATCATCATTAAATTTAAATAATTTATTGACTACTACTTCATCTGTGTTATTTATAGGAAAGGAAGAAAAGCAAAGGTCTTAATATAATCCCTGAGTCATCTCATTTGTGACATTGATCCAGTTTGACTGAACTCTATAACTGTTCTGCTTTCTTCCTCCAGTGACTTTTCTATCTAATGAGCCAACTTATTATGTTTTTTTTATGTGGCATCATGTCAAATGCTTTTTGAAAATCTAGAAACACCAAATCCCTACCTTTACCTCACCTACCTAAGCAGTAACCTCTTCAAAGAATGCTAAAAACTTAATGAAGGCAAATTTTTCTCTACTGGAACCATTTTGACTATGCAGTAAAATTTTAAACTTTATTAAATTACTTTGTATAGCATCTTTTATCAGGCTTTCAAAAACCTTTCCCACCAGTGTTGTAAGACTAATAGGCCTTAATTACCAGAAAAAAGTTATCTCCTTTGAAAAGAGGAGTAGAATAAATAGAAGTTTCTGATGACAAATTCTTGGGTATTTTGTAGTTGATGTTGAGTTACAAAAGAATGACTTGGATCATTTGATGAGTTGGACAAATATTTGGCAGATAATTTTCTTATAGAAAGTACAAGATAATACTTTGGGGTTATCATAATATTGTATCATCTTTAATCTAAATAGGAACCCACTCAATAATATAACTGAAGAAAATTATTTTTATCATAGTGGTGTATAAGTCATTCAAGTCATATAAGCAGTGCCTTTTTTACTAGCAGTAAAGCTAAGAGAGTTTAGAATGTATTTGTAGATATATTGATTTAAAATCAAAAGAAGTTATTACATTGAAGCTGGAAGAATGTTTGTAGTGGGGTGTTGGATACCATTGAACAAAACTGAAACCCCTGTATATGATATGGGCCTAGCATGTACAACACCTCTATATGTCAAGCCAGGGGGGTGATGTCACACCCTTAACACTCCTAGTTTACACACCCTTGTGTTATTATTTCTCAAGAAATCAATAATTAGGCCTCGCTTGAAATACTGTGTGCAGTTGTGGTCTCTGTATTTTTTTCTTAAAGGGATACAAGATTGTATAGGACATCGACAGGATAAGGGCTATCTGATTTCTGTGTGCTATATTCTAAAAGCAGTAGGATTAAAGGACACAGGTTTAAGGTTTGGAAAAGATATGTTAGGTTCAAATTAAAACATTTTTATATTTCTAACAGGGTGATTGATTTACAGAATATGTTGCCATTAGCATTAGTGGAGACTAGCATATATTTACAGTAGTATAACAGTTTAATCAATGATTTTCTGAAAAATAAAAGATATGAGTTTACATTTTTACTTTTCTTAATGGTGTGTGTGTGTAAGAAAACAGTCTTGAGGGACCAGATTGACTGTTGTCATTCATATCTTAAATGGAGTCTAGCCTGTGCTTTTTCGAAATCTTAATCTTGTATTTTGTCACTCTTTTGTCTTTAGAATATAGAACAAAGAACTTAGAAGTTTTTACCCTATTGATGCCTAGATAATCCCATAAACTTTAACAAGTTAATTTTTTACCCTTTTTTCTCAAGGGAGATGAAATTAAGAGATCTTAGCCTATCCTTACAAGATAACCCTTGTATCCCCAGAATCAAACCTTCTGAACCCTTTCCAGTAAGTCAATTTCCTTTCATAGTCCGTACCCAATATTTCAAGGTAAATAATAAGAACTTGTTTCATGTCTTTATACCATAGTATGTTTAATTTCATAAATAGATATAAATTTTTTACTACACTAAATAAATTTAAGTGTAAAACAGTAAAGTTCAGTTTTTTTAAAAAAGTATTTTATAATGCATGAATATAACATGTAGATTGAATCAAGAAATTATCATTTTATGTAGTTAAAAAATGCTTTGACTCCATCGACGTTGTAGCTCTGCTTTTCAAAATAGGGTTTCACGGTCACCCATTGCACTGTCTCCATTGATGCAGTCCTACAGACTCTTCCACCCCCCTTACCACTTACCAGTTCCTAGCTGCTGGGTTGGTGGACCATGGGTGCCTGTCCTTCTGAGTGATGAATCATACCACTCAGTTCATAGTAGGGTTGTGGCATTTTGCAGGTGTTGGTGGTGTATAGCATTTCCTACTGTGGACATTATGTGCAATTCCAGATGCTGCCAGGTTTTGGTTGTTGCACTGTGCCATTTTTCTATGTACATATAACAACAACAAAAAATGGTCAGCTTTCTTTGGCATAACACTCTTCCTACTATGGAACAGATGATCAATTCTAGATGCTGCCAGGTTTTAGTTGTAGCACTGTCATAAATATATATATATATCATTGCAGCTTACCCCTCAGGCTGAGACATTCCTCCTCTCTACCATCTGCCAGGTTTTGGACTGCAGATGCACCCCAGCTTTGTTGTTGTTCTTCCTATAATCAGCTGGATGTAGGTCTCTGGTGGATCTGGTCTGGTTGGAAATATGTGCAAGTGGTGACAAATTTTGGTGCAGAAGCTCGTCTTCCCTATCAATTCCCATTTCGAGCTGAAGATGTAGGTGTTCCCCTACTTACCTACCACGGATCTGATGTATCATTCCAGATACTGCCTAGTGTTGGTTGAGGTTGAACTACTGCTATGGTCTGTCGTGCCCTAGCCACTTGACACCCTTAAGTCCATTAGCCATACATATTCTGGGATTCCTTCATGTTTCTGCCTTTAATGTTCATGACACTGTTATAAAAGAGCAAAGAGTACATCTGGATCAGATGTGGTATGGTCTCCCGTTGAGGTGTGATGTTTTCTTTTTTGATTCCGCATTTCCTGGTCACTCTTTGGATGTTTCCTAAAGGGAGATCATATTTTTTTTATTGTCCCTCCACCAGTTCAGTGTGGGATTCTGGCTATTTTGTGAGAGGTGGTAAGATAACGTATCAGAAGTTAGCATTTTCCTACACTGAAAACGTATTTACGATAGATACTTCCCACCCAACCTCCCCACTTCTGATGATATATGATGTTGGTCTTTTGACCAATCTTGAAGTGATTAATGAATGCAGGTGTGAAGAGGGAACTGGTTATGATAAGAGTGGTGTCATGCTCGTATTGGTGTATAGCTGCTGCATGATAATTTACATGTGGATATGCAGAAGTAGGAGGTGGAAGGTTAGTGGTGTGCATTGAAAATTTGTGCTGATAGAGGGCAGTGCTAGTTGAGAAAAGCTAATTTGTGACAGGAGGTAAGTATTTATTGGAAATACATTTTCAATTGAGGAAAATGCTAACTTCAGGTGAATATAGTAATTTGCAATACAAACATAATGAAGAGAGTTTTATTATGGGTAATTATAGATTGTTTGTTTGTTATTAAGCACAAAGCTACACAATGGGCTATCTGTGCTCTGCCCACCACGGGTATCGAAACCCGGTTCTAGCAGTATAAGTCCGCAGACATACCACTGTGCCATTGGGGGGGCGGTAAGTATAGAATACAGAAAAACATGTAAAAAAGATGTATAAAACACTCCAGTTTTTATTTTATTTCATAATTCTCCCATCATATGTAATATTAACATTAAAAATCTTGTGTAACAGCAGTAGTAATCCAATATATGATTTTCTACTGTAATCCACTTTATTACTGTAATTTTAACAGCAATAGTTATCCAACATATAATCCATTTTTATTACCACAATTTTTATTTGAAAAAAAAGAAGTAAAACAAACACACTTATTAGCATTGAAATCAACAAATCACATGTGAAAAATAGAATCTGGAACTGCATAAATACTATAATTAGTGCTCTGTCCCTTTGCAGTTTGCAATGCCCTTTGGAGCATTAATTAGGGGCAGTATGGTATGTTTGCTTTGACTTGGTCTGTAACAGTGAAACAAAATTAGCTTTATATCATTGCATGCTGTCAAAGTAGTGGTGCAAGATTGAAAGTAATGTCAGCAAAAATAATAAAATATAAAACAAATAGAATTTTAAAATAATGGAAAATATATTTTGCACTTACTAATCTTCATTTGTGAAAATACTTTTCATGACAATTAACACAAGGAATATTTTCTTTGGACATTGAAGTAATGTTTAGCTGTCATTAATTGTCTGGGATTTGAACTGAAATGTAACATGATTTTTCTGTGCAATATTTAGTATATTGTAGATCGTAGTAATTTGATCTTTGTCCGTAGACATAACTTTTTGTGATATTTCTTCAAATTCTGAACTGGAAAATTTATACATTCTTTGTTAGGCTCTTGAAGAAACATTCAAAGTTAATACATTTGGACCCCTTCTAGTGGCCAAACATTTTGGGCAGTTCCTTCAAAATGGAAATGGTGGTTTTGGAGCAAAAAGTGAAAGTGAGAAACTAAAGCATTCTGGTGTTTTGGTAAACATGTCAGCCAAAGTTGGATCCATTGGAGATAACAGTAAGAACCATAGTTGTTATTACAACCTCTAACATGTACAGTTAGACACCTTTTAGTAACAGTGTTTTGTGATACAAGGTTTATTAAGATTTAGATGATTTAAATGCAGATGTATAAATTTCTTTTTTTTTGTCATACAGTTCTATATGATATGTTATGGAATTTGATGCTAGGATTTTCAAAATGGAGTTCTAGTATTGAAAGATTTTGCATTTTTAAATTATAAAATTTACCCTTTTAATGTTCACTTTCCTACCAAATACATTTATTATATTTTCCCCACTTATATAAAACTTTATTAACATATACTGCACAAGAATATTTAAACAAGTGACATTTTAAAACCCATCTGGAATAAACCTGTGTTAACATAAGGGTATATGCTACAAGTATGAAATTGGCCTCTTTTATAGGATATTTATATTGAACTTGAACTTACAGTATAACTCTTTGATGTTATACAATATTTTGCTTAAGAATTCATAAGTAGTTATAATTTTATTACATAATTTATAAAGATCTAAAAATTAGTTTTTTCACAAATAATATTGCCATGAAACTTTCAAAGTTGGAATAAAGATGTGTCAGTAGTAAACTTTACATAATATTTATCATTCTTATTATAACCCGAACTGTGTAAAAAATAAAAATAAATATAGCAAGCTGATGGTCTTTCTGATGTTTGACTTAGAAAAAAGAATCCAATTACTGTTAAAATATTTAGGGATCCACATGTCATTTTCACTGTAAGGATGTTAGTGTACAAAAACTACAATAAAAGTAACACAATAAACCTTGTTATCAATATGACTTTTGTATTTCAAAATTATTCAGTTTTAGTGAACTTTCCCACAACATAACTATAGATGATTGTGTTGGAAATAATAGGTCTTCATAGATGTTCTTTGGCTTCTTGATGACCTGATATCTAAATATTCTATTGAAGTTAACACATTTCCTTTTTTTTTACTTTTTTTTATACATGTCTTTGTAATTTACTTCCTCTGGTTTTGGTATGACATAGTTTATTTGTAACACCTAAGATGCTTTGAGCCTTATCCAAACAATCTGATTTAAGTTTCTTTTATCTCAATTAATGAGGTCAGTATTCAAGTTTTTCCAGATTTTGAAATGACTGTACATGTTCATTACTTAATTCTTATAATCCTTGTTCTGAATTATTATTATTAAATAAAGTCCACTTACTAGAGTTCTAATATGACCAAAATATTAATTTTTTACCATATATGTTACTTTAATAACTGCTGAAACAATTGCTCATTTTCATAAATATATGCATCTTAAATTTTAATCTAGCCATAAGCTAGAACATTCTATCTGTAGTGAGCATAAAGCATGGATGTGATGAGAAAAAGTACACAGAGATGTGAAATGTTTAAATACACAATGTCTACATTATCCTGTCACTAGAACCTTAGTTGTCTGTTCCATCAGAAGGACTACTCCACCCAGTCACATTAGTGATTGGGATCTTAAGTTTCCATTTCTTCTATGTCATTCTTCCACAGAAGAGTAGCCATTGAAACTACAAAACTCGTATTATAGCTTTACGTTTTCTTTTCTGTCATTCTTCCACAGATAAGTAGCCATTGAAACTAGTAAAGCTATAATACGAGTTTCGATTTTCTTCTCTGTCATTCTTCATGAAGAAAACTTTTAATGTAAGTTTATCTCCCTTAATTAGTATGTAAGAAAAGCCTACATTAATTAGGTTGTCTGTGAATGGCTTGCTGTCAATTGTGATGGTCAGATTGTTGTTTTAAAAATTATATTTTAACATGTTCTGAAATTCACAGGGCATAAAAATTTAGAACAGTGCATTAAACAAGATAAAAAAAATTTGAAATATTTTACTTTGTAGTCGAAATAGTTAAATAATTCAATATGACTGAAATGGAAGTTCAAATACCTACTTCTAGAAAACTTTAAAGTTCTCAATTCCTGAACCACAGATTACGAACTCTTTATTAAAGAAAGCCTTTCCATTTTTAATGATCACCCAACACTAAATAATAACAACATCAACTTCTCACTGTTGTCATTAATGTTCTCAATATTAAATTTTCGGTGCTTTATTTGATATTTATTATTATTTTAAAGATACAATGTTTATACTTATATTTACGCCTTTCTCTATAATAGTTTCTCTTAACAATGGTATTTATTAAACGTGTATGCCACACATTTTATCATACATTCCATTATATTGTTACTGTTTAAATCTGTTCTTTCTAAACTTCCAACTGTATAAAAAACTCGCTCAATGCTAATGTTGTTTTTTATAGTTCGAATATTATTAACTGTTTTTTTTAGATATGCTGATGATGGAATTTATGGAACTTGTGAAACTTCCGTATTAAAAGATGTTTTTGGTATTACCATGTTTTAAATATTTATTATAAAACTTCATTTTCCACCTGATGAATCAATTGCAAATACTCTGTCATGGCGGTATGGATATGATGTGTTACGTTGTTTTGTACTCTTGAAAAGCTTGATCTCAAATTTCAGAAGGTCTTGATTGATATTCAGTTTTAACCACAGGTAAAAACCACAAAGTTATTCCAAAATTCCTGAACTTCAAGATGACTAACTTAAATCTCCAAGGTTTTTATGTTTATCAATTTGTTTGAGATATTAATGCTGATGATGGAATTTAAGGAAATTTTAAAATGTCCATATTACAGATGTTTTTTACAAGCCTCTTGTTAAACACCATTTCCAGAACACCAAATGCTTAATTATTTATATATAAACATATAAAACACATTCTGCTGGTAGAAGGAGTAGAGTAGAATACCCATTTTGAAATGAAGAACTTGAGAATTACATTACTGATTTGTGGGTTTACTGTAGCATAAAACATCAATATTAGAGGTAATGGTTATATAATTTTAGATATTAGACTCTGATTTATTCTAAGTTAGTATGAATTCTATTGTATTCTGATTTTTTAATTTTTTTGAACAGGTTTAGGTGGTTGGTACAGCTACAGGTTATCAAAAGCAGCTCTCAACATGGTCACCAAAAACTTAAGCATCGAATTAGGACGTGGTAGGAAAAAAGTTATTTGTGTTTCTCTGCATCCTGGGTCAGTGGATACTGATTTGTCTCGTCCTTATCTGAAGAGTATCCCCACAGAACGTCTTTTTAGCCCAGAGTATTCTGTCAGCTGTCTGATGAATGTTATTGACAATTTAAATGTACATGATACAGGAAAGTTTTTTTCCTGGGATGGAAGTGAGCTGCCTTACTGAAGTTTGTCAATGTACTTAGCATAACAGTCTAAGTTCAGTATGTATCTCTGGTAGTTGCATCATGTGCCACATTTGTTTCATAACATTTGTTTAAATTTTATTGTAAGAAATTTTGACAAACTTAGTAAAGTAAATCAAACAATTCATGATGATTTTTCCCAGATATCTTATGAAAAAGTGTGCAAAATAGCTAACAATAGTTTTGTAAAATGATATATTTTTCTACAGTCTTACAGCAGTATCATTGTTTCATGTTTATCTCTATGAATTCGTCACTACTTTTAATTTAAAAACCATAAGAATGAGATTATTTTCTGAGATATCATCATCATTTTATTTCATCAGTCCCTAATAAAGTTATCAGGTTGTATTGCACATAAACATAATATTGATTACAGTAACCATCAAACTTCACATTCTATTGCAAACATTTAATAAACACGTTTGTATTAAGTACAGGTATTGGTTGAAAGCTCACAGCAGAGTTAACTTAGTTGTGGCTTTAGCCTCTTGATAACTGTGTTTATGTATTTATATACTTATATTGCAGCTGACCTTAGTTTGGATCAAAAGGTGGGGATGTATGGAGTAGCACTTTGTGTGAACATACTTACATGTATTCTCTCTTGAACTTTCTGCACATGCTCGGTGATCTTGAGCATAGTACAGACTTGTAGTAGATGGCAGTAGCCAACAAGTATATAGCAATTCTTACTTGTTAAGTATAGTTGCACACAAAATATATTTTCAAGTTTGTCAATTCAAATGGTTTAGAGGTTTCTTCATTTAAAGAGTATAACATATTTTAATAGTTGCAGTTAATGATAGTACAACACTATGGTTTGATAAGGTTGGTAACAAAGTTTTACCCACCTTATTTTTACATCCTCATTAAGAGTGAGTCAAGACTGGTTGAATTCTTGCTGAAGAAATTCCACTTCTGTTATTTCCAAAACAATCTAGTAACTGGTAAGGATGATGTTTTTGACTAAAGTCTGATCCAACATTAACTGGATTAAGTTTTGTTACTCACAAATCGTGGGATTCCCTTCTTTCCCGTCAAATATTCACAATATGTCTTCGGCTGAATCTCTTTGTTACTAGTCTTTGTTTCTATGTATAATACCGGTGAATCCTTGTCCTCATCATCATGTTGCATGAGGAATGTTTTTATAGACGAATAGAAAGTTATCCAACTTATAACAGCTTGTGGTACATGTATTTCCTTTTACTGACTTAAGTTCTTGTGTTCTAATCTAGAAGTTGTTCAGCTAGCCTGTTAATTAGTTGCTGGGAGATACGGAGCACATATGATATGCTTAAGACCAATGGTTTGTCCAAATGTTTCAAACTCATTGGAGATTAACTGTGAACCATGTGTGAGCTCTTCTAGAATGTCATAATGGCTGAATAATTCTTAGTTTAGGCCAAAAGATTTTCTGAAACCAGTGTGCATATGCTGCCAAAAGATTACTTTGCCACAGCACATTTTGCATACATTGATTTAGCCTTTTGTTCTGCTTGCATGCCTATTACATACATCTTTATCTTTTCTTTTCTATTCCTGAATGCTCTTTCTGTAACGAATCAACACAAAGCTTCAAGCTTAGGAGGTATGACCTCACAAACAAATTTCATATTGTGAGGCATAGAACAGTATTAGTACATGGCTCATACCAGGTTTAACTTCTAGTTCTTTGTTTGAGGCCAGGACAAGAACTTAAGACAGTGTAGGAGCTATTATAGTTTCTTCTTTTAGTATGCTTTGAATTGAATACATTTTAAATACAATTTGAATACATTGTTTCTATCTGCCTTGTCATTGATATCACATTCAAGGGTAAGTTTGAATTGATCTGTATTAACAAGGTTAGAATGCCATTCTATGGACCAAAGGGGATCCAACTGAGGTGTTTAATATTCTTCAAGGAATTGATAGTGTTGAAGCTTCATATTTTTTCATATTTAATGGTGAGAATGGTAAGACTAGGGGACACAAGTATAAATTTTAGCAGGGAAGAAGTCATCTTCAGGTAAGACAGCTTTATTTTTCTAACAGGGTGGTTGGCTTCTCAAATAGGTTGCTTCTGGGTGTAGTAGATGCAGTTAATTATAAGGAGTTTAAGGAAATGCTTGATAAATATTTGAATGATAATGGCTGTCTTTGAGGTGTATTTATTTTGTTTGATTAGTGAATAGGACAGCCTAGATGGATCAGATGGTCCTTTAATGTTATGTTATAGGCCCTGTCTTAGAAATATTCAGATGGGTCTGTTTATTATAGATCTGGGGTTTCTAACCAAATTGGACTTGGTAGAATTGGTTGTTGCACAGAAGTCTTGGCTTTTCCTTTGACAGTTGAATCCCATGCCAGAAGATGTTTCAAAAATGCATGACCATTTGAAATCCTTTTCATTACTTTTAGCCACACAAACCTGCCAAATAAAACTAATGTAGCCTAATTTCATACCTATGTGAATTTTGTAGCTATGTTTATCTGTTGTTAAGATTTCTAAACGATTTACATATGTAACAATATTTCGTATATATATATATATATATATATATATATATATATATA